CTCCTCCAGCCCCTTCTGACCTGGGTGCATCAGGAGCTAGGTCAGCTCTTTGCGAACCAACATTCGCGGGTAGCCACAGTGGAGGGCCTCATTGCGCCCCTCCTGGTCCTCTTTGGGCTGGATGAATACCTACTGGTTGAGATGCTGAGGGCCACCCTCCAAAATCACACGGCTACATTTGTATACCAGCTTATTGACGTCGCCGTGCAACAGTGCAGCGGGGAGGCCCGCCGTCTGCTGGGCCTGGAGGACGGCCATGCTGTGGGGGGGTGGGAGGGCAGCCCCGCGGGTGCCTCTGGCCCCGCTGCCTCCCGGCGAGGGTCTCCCGCACCTAGGCTGGCCCCCTCCGACAGCCCCGAAAGAACCAACATGCATGACCACCCCAGGACCACTCGAGCTGCCCCTCGTGTGCATCGCAGCAGGCGTTTCCCTGCCCTCTTTCCTATCGCAGAGGAGGAGGAGCCCGAGGAGGAGCCCGAGGAGGAGGCCCAAGAGGAGGCCCAGGAGGAGCCCCAGGAGGAGCCCCAGGAGGAGTCCCAGGAGGAGCCCCAGGAGGAGCCGGAGGAGGCCATGGCAGGTCCATCTACTTCCAGTGGGGGCAGGGAACGCTCCCCTGGGGGGCCATGGCAAGCCCCAAAGAGGAGGTCTGGCAGCCCTGAGGCCTCTTCTCCAGCCAAGAAGAGGCCACCCCGCTGGCAGCACTAGAAGAATGTCCCAGGTGCAGCTGAAACCAGGGCTGGGCCAGCAGCTGGGGTGTGCGCCAGCCCTCAATGGCTCCCTGTGCTCTAAGTGACATAATTTGTAAGTGAAATAAAATAAAGGTCTGCAAACTGCAGAAAAGGTCTCCGTGTTACTAACAGTGCAGGTGGCCTTGCTATCCCCACCCGTGCTGCTTTCTCCCCCTTTTCCTGGGGCTATGCCCACCGTTGCCTCTCGTTGTCCTTAGCAGAGTGCCATGGGGCTTCTCCCTCTGGTCTTGCACAGCCTCGTCGCCCTGCTTTGACTACCATGGGGCTGGACCTGTGCTCTCTGAGCACATCTCTCCCCAGAGCACAGCGCCACGGGTCTTGGCCCTCTGCTTTTGCAGGGCCCCTTTCCCTTCAGGAAGGTGCCATGGTGCCTGTCCCTGTTCTCTTGCAGGCCCCTTTTCCCTGATTCAAACACCATGGGGCCTGGCCCTATGGACCTGAAGGGCCCTTTGCTCTAATCAGAGTGCCATTGAGTCCCGTTATCTGGTGTCGCTGGGCCTTTCTTCCCCTTCTTCTAGTACTAAGAGATGTGACCCAAGAAAGATGGACATGATGCTGCCCTGAAGCACAGGCTTTCTTCCCCCTCTTCCAGATCCAGCCTTGGCGCTGGCATTTCTCCTCTGCTCGGAAAGGACCCCTCTTTGGCAGACGGGTGCCGTCAGTTCCCCAGCGCCCCTCACCACCACCCCCACCACCCCTCCC